TTAATTTTTCGTGAATTAGTGTAAAATGGAAAGCTTAATGTCGTCGTAAAAATGTTCAATTTTCAGTTAGAATTCTTTCATTTTTACAGAATCTTTTTATAGAATAATCAGTTTTACCTACAATCGTTTCTATTATTTTTTGCAAGAACCATCAACTAACTTTAATTCCGTATTCTTCCATAAAACACGATTTCACCTTGGACAGTTTCTGAACCACGTGCTTTCGTCCCGCTGAATATGGCGGAATGTGTGCCAAGCGTGGGATGCTTTCGATTTTAATTAAATTTTCGATGGTTCGCGACGATTAACAAGCGACGTCCGTAGTTATCGTCGTCGCTCGAAGAATCAAAGTTTCGACGGAATGCTCCGTACCTATGTACCTTCATTCATTCCCGTTACAACGTACAATGGCGAACGTGTGGTTTTCGCTGCGGAATTGTTTGCAAACGTTCCGGTAAAACCAGGTCAGGACGCGAGCCCTGTTGGGAGAGCTGCGGAACAAAGTCTTATCTCCCCCGGGAACTGCCCTGATTGTTACGTTACCTATTAATAAAATCGCATTCATCGCGTTCGATTGAACACGTTCGGTCGCGTCCGTTTACGTCGGCCAGTTTTGGCGAGAGATCGATGCTTCCCCGAAACAAACGAAAAATGGAACTGGCAAACGTCGAAAAGAGTACATCGACTTCAATCACTTGCGCTCTCTTTCTAGATTAAATTAAATTAAAATTAAATATGTTTACCGCACGTTGATAATTCTTTATTCGGAATCGTTATTTTATTTCATTTACTTGGTCCGTTTGAAATTTTCCACTGAGTGATTTTGATCAAAAACGCAGATTAGACGATTCGTTGGGGCGGAAGAGGAAGAAACATCTAGAAGCTGTACTTGCAACTTGAACCATGTTTCTTGTTATTTCTCTGACATAGTACGTGGCGTGCGTATTTCGTGCGACTTTCTGGCGAAAACTGGTGTATACTGAGAAGATTCGTGTGGGTCGTAAGAGACGCGTCAACCTAGATCTGAAGTAGAAGATTACAGGAATTGTAGAAATTTTCGTTCGGGGGTGGCGCACTGTGTCAGCCTTAAAACTAATTAACTAATCGGACGTAGTCGTAAGTGCGTGGTCATAGTGAACACACTCTGAACACGTCACCATGTCTCTCTTTCAATTATGAATCCGCCATTCCTCGTCTATCAATAAAATATTCCTCAATCGTAACGAATGATAGTACGACTCTTGGAAAATCGATCCGCCAAACAAGAGTATCTAAACACGCCGAGTGAATTAATAATGGCAATATGTTTCAGCTGCTCAGCGTCTCAGCGCACACCTTACCGCCCATGAAATTGCTTTGTACATCTTTCATTACCTCTCTGTTGACGTCGTCGACAGCCCAGCCAGCGGAGAACAAGTACGACAGGTAATTTATTCCCTAACATCTTGGATTATTTAATTTTTGTTTGTCTTTTTATAATTTAATCCTTTATTTCCATTTGTTTTTGTAATCGTAAGTACGTATACTGGTACTTAAAATTCAAAATTAAATTAAATTAAATTGAACTTAAATTTTTTGTGACGGTTCCTTTTGTTCCCAGAGATGACAAAGAAAACAGCGAAGACGAATCAGCGGACGAGAGCGAGAATGAATTTTCACGTCCAATGAAACCAGAACCTTCTCCCGATGTTGTGAACAATGCGATAGACGATACGAAAGTAGAATTGATTGATCATAATTGGTCTTTCCTGAAGGCTATACTTCCTGAACAAGACATCGAGACCACTGAACATTAACGTGAATAAATTACCTATGTTGTGCCGAATATTTTTCGGGAATCTAGAACTTTGTCAGCGACAACTATGTAAAATAATTTCGTCCAATTGTAACAGTCATTTCCTACAATGTTACTATTTTGTAGCAAAAACATAAACACAATTTTCTATGTTTCTTGATTTGCGCCGTTACCACCTTCAGAAATTCGTTGTCCGACGTAAGAAACATCGATCCTTAGCTAAAATTTTACAGGTTGAGATAATCAAATTAATACAATATGAAAAAGACAATTTCTCTGTTTCATGTAGATTATTTATTACGTGTTACCTTACAAATATTGTGTTAACATGTGTACATAAAACCCGGTAATCAAATGAAACCATTGCTCAGTATTACTTTTGGAGAGTACTAGTATTTTTTAATCGCATAAGGGTGCATTGTGTCACTTCATTTTGTTTCAATTCAAAGAAAAGTGTAAAAGTTAAATGATGCAAAATATCCTTGAGTGCTACGTCGGTTTCGGGAGCTCTTCAAAGCGGGCACTCAGCTCAACCAGTTCGGTAACTGCTTCTGTTAGTCTCTTACCATAATTTGGATCGTTTTTCATCATGTTGAGTACAATTTCGTTTCTACCCTCAAACGAATATTTGTGAAAGGTGTCGGAATTACTCGTAATTTCTAGGGCCATGGTGTCGTTCATCATCACGGTCTGGAAGAACGAGGCTGCGGTGATCGCGCCGCCCAAACGTTGTTCTTCCATTCCTTCGACGATCTCGGACCATGCTGGAATTTCTACGGAAATCTCGGACGATTTTAAGGTCTCGCACAGCACACTGTAATAATGCTTCAACATAGCTTCCTCTGAAGCTGCCCTGAAATCACGATCAGTGCATAGGTACAGAAACTGTGCCACATCGTGCGCCAAAGGTGAATATCTCATCATCTGATAGTCCACCAGCAAACACTTCGGCGGGGCGTCGTTGCTGAACATCAAATTATTTCCCCATAAGTCTCCATGACTGATGACGTTCCTCTTCGTAACCGACGTCTGCAGGGCCGCGGTCACTTCTCGGCAGATGTCAGCCAGCGAACTCGTGTCGAAGCCGAGATGTTTGGCGATAGCGACGATAGCGTTGGTAGTCACATTGCACCACTGTCCGGTCTGGCCAGTTAGGTCGAACGAGGTCTCCACGAAAGCGTCGGGATACAGCTCCTTGAAGGACACACCCAGATGAGCCTCTGCCATCAGAGATGCTGCGTGGAGCCGCGCGATAGCTGTCAGACCAGAGACGACCCGCTCCTTGGTGAATAATTTATTCTTTATGGAATAACCGTTGACAATCAGGTCGTCGAAAACCAACAAATGCTCTTTGGCCAGGTAGCAGTTTGGCGACCATGGTTCACCGTGATACACTTTTTTCAATAGAGGGAATATGTTGTAATAGAATATCTTCTCCTTTAAAAATACTTTCTTGTTAATCACATACTCGGCTTGCGATGGCACATGAAAGGGTACAATTTTCACAAAGAAGAATAGCGTCTTCACTCTACCGCTCTTGGATTTGACCTCGATAGAAAGCTGCTGATGGGAACCAAGGAAGCCGAGCTTCTCGGAATAAGGTCGCAGAAAGTACTTCTGTACCTCCCCATCGCAGTTCAATGAATCCTTCAGTAGACGCTGAATCTCTTGGAAAGTCAACACATTGCGGTACGCGTTCACCTGGGAGCAGACACCGTCTTTTGTCTGTTCCAACGGGATCGACTGCTGCAGTTTCGACTGGGACATGACGGATACAAGCAATGTCGAATCATATGATTCCGGTTATGTGCGTGGCACTCGGCGGAGACGAGTCCTTTTAAGTAACTCGGGTGATTTGCGTGTAATCAGAATCTTCCCATCTATTTTTTTCTTCCGCGTGTTTGCTGACAAACAATCTCGAGATAAAGCCGAGGTAACGCAATGGAATCACGAGGTTCGAACGTTCGATCGATACCACCTGGTCCGTTAGGAGTTTTCTCGTTAATCTTCATCGTCGTACATGATATGTTTGCCTTTTCTTTTATTTTTCTATTTTCTTTATCCAATAAACGAAACAAGGCGATGTGAATCCAACTGCGTACCCCGGTTACCGGCATCTGGTTACGCTATCTTGTCACGGCGGATAAACAACCAGTATGGTATTTCGAATATGCTCATAATACTAGCCCCCATAAACAGACCGACCGCGCTACCAACTGAAACTAAAAGTAATGCATGTATGCGTTTCACATGTGATACTTAATATTTCATAATTAATTAACTGCCCGGTCCAGCAGATCTGTACCTATAACGTCCAACACATCGTTGACTACATATCGCCGGTACCGCACCGTTGGGTGACTAAGCAGCGTAAAATGAAGCCGTGAGTAGGACCGACCTGGTGAATCATACTCATGAGGCTCCCATCGATTTCTACGGTGTGAAATATCAAGTTATAACTGGGTTAGGTTCGGTGCAGCTGTTCAGGAATCAATCGCTCAGTTTAGAAAAATCTATCCTTGTTACAAATGCATACATTGTCAGGGATGTTCCATCGCAGTTGGGCAGGCATTCTTCTTCACCTTCGATCGATTGCGCCGTAATCTCCGCCTTATTAGCTATGATACAAAGCATTTCGGTCCCGTTGCATACTCGTGCCCCGCGCGGTACAGAATAATAGAAGTTCACGCAACCGCAGAGCTCGAGCATCCGCTCTATGATCAGCTGCAACCGAGTCACGTAACATGCTGTCATTTCTGACAAGTAATGGATTTTGTTTGCATTTTCCGAAATGTTCGCACATACTTGGAGATAACACGTGTCGCTGCTGTAAACGGTAAACATGCTGTCTCGTCGTTTTTCATGTCGGAATCGACAATCCCTATACCCGACAGCGACATTCTCTACGCCAGCCCCGTTGAATGTATCATACATCGTAAATTCAATTCGTGTCGTTCGTCCGGCCTTCATGTGTATCTCGTCCTTCTCTAAATTTTTGAACGTCGGCATCTGCAGATTGTTAAACACGTGCACCTAAAATCATACCGACAAGCACAACTCATCACCATCTTCGCAATTGTCATTTCTATTTGTGAACGGGAGATACCGGTGTCTTCCACGTGTCTCGAACAATATCATCCGACGAGTGTTGCATACTAGCCTGCAATCGTGCAAGAACATTTTTGCCTCTACTGTA